TTTTAAACTTTTAAAATTGTTTTCTTCTTCAGTGGAAGGTGGTCGATTATGGCCCTCCACAACTTTTTGACCTTGTATTCCTTCCCACAAAATCGTTACATAAAAATGTCTATTATGTAAGTCATTAGATTAGAATGAATAAAGAAAACAAAATACTAATATTCAAGAATGTCCCGTTTTTAAAAGATCTGGTTGTTAATACATACGATTCGTCTTAAAATGCAGGTACAAGCGAAGCATATCTTGATTGCATTTCCAAAATATATTGTCACTTTGCATATAATGAAAGTACGTCTATTAAATGTTTCCATTCAAAATACGGCAGATGTGTTGAAAGTTAACATTCCGCTAATTGTGCCTTGAAAAAAAAAATGTTGCCGTAAGCGAAATCTAAGGATTTAGTTATTACATAGAACAAAATTTTATATATATATATATATATATATATATATTATATTATATAGATAGATAGAGAGAGAGATAGATTCTAAGACAAAATGAAAAAGTTTATTTGTGACGGATGAAACACATCACAAACCTTTTCCATTTTGTCTTACAATTCTTGGGATAATTATTTATTTAAAAATATGATTCAATGATTTAAATAAATAATTATATTTATGCTCTACTTTTGTATCGAGCACTGTTTTTTAAAAATAATAACAAAAATAATAAAGAAATTTGGATTATTTACCTAACGAGTTCTTTCCTATTTTCTATATATTTTTCACACACACACACACACATATATATATATATATATATATATATATATATATATATATATACATACATACACGAGATAGAGACGCAGTGTCATCAAGATGCATAACTAAAAATATATAGCCAGAGGTTTACTGTAAAACTTTTTTATTTTTTTTATTTTCAAAAGCAATTTGTGTTCTGTCGTATAATTGTTTTTACTTATAGCGACACATTAAAATTAATTAGCCGAAATAAATTAGCGATATTCTTTCTTTAATCGACAAGACAAATATTGATTAAACCCTTTTGTGAAGACGGTTTTGTTTAAATAAATAAGTATTTTTTGTATGTTTAGTATTCACCAACGACATAGAAATCATCCTCAGAAATGTCCGTTTGGAAGTTATGAGTCTTGGCGATGGTCGGACTCGATCTCGAGTCGACCTCCACGATGTACGCATTAAGTAGTACATAGTCATTTATAGTGATTTACTAAGCGAAACTTAGATGTCGTACAAGGCCGAAATTAAAGAGCACCTAGTGTAGATTTAACTCACAACTTAGTTGTAATTGATCTAGCGCGACAAGCTTGCTAACCATTTACACCATTTATATTTTACCTCAGCTATGGGTTAAATAACAGGACTGACTGGGTCCTCTTGCCTTAGGATGACAACCAGCCTAGGAGAAGGAAAAACTTTAAATTCAAAACCAGCCTGAAGAGTGGGAGGCTCCGTCAGGTTATCTTGCCCTAGACACACCACTTCTGCTATGGTTATAAAGGTGTCTCTACCACCCAAATTATTTACGGGACTCGTGACATAAGCATGTATGTTTTGTTAAAACACATAGAACGGATATTTACCTTTTTTTTACCTAATATTTTTTGCTCGATTAGAAATGGACGCATATCCAGAAGTAAAACAAAAAAAAAAACAAAAAAAATAGTAACATTAATAATTTGAAAAATTAATTAAATTTGTCCTTAATTTTAAAATATCTGATTTTGGAGGAAAGTTAATTCAAAAATTAAAACCATCTCCTCTTTATATTCTTTAACAAAAAGATATATATATATATATATATATATATATATATATATATATATATATATAAAAATATGTGTATATATATATATATATATATATATATATAAAATGTGTGTGTGTGTGTACAAACGTAGTAAATTTATACAACAATCCTTTGGTGAAGAATGTCTTATTAAATGAAACAAACAGGGAATGTTTGTTAAGAATTTTAGCAAATTTCTCATAGTACCGAATAAGTTATTTGATGTCGGACGAGTGAAAATATGGCATATATTTGAACAATTTCGGCATCTTTTTCACAAGTTTCCACCAAACATCAAACAACTTCAGTATCAAGAGAAACTCATCAAAAAACTTGACACACACACAATATATATATATATATATATATATATATATATAAGTGTGTGTGCTAATACAAAGAATGGTTATTATTACTTGAAAGCATATTTCTTATAATGAATAGAATTTGCCAAGTAAAGCATTTGATGTTAATGTTTAAATGACGTTCCATTTTATCCGTTGAAAATTAGTTCATAGCAATCAGTATGTTATGTTCATATATTTCCCACGATTAGAGTATGGTAAAAGGCAACAGGTAGTGAGCGCCTATTAAGCCTGAGTGTACAAACATTGAGAAAAAAAAATCTGATGGAAATACCGTATTTCTGCATATGTTGATCGCAACAATAAAAACTATATTAAACAATGTGTTTATTAATAGCAGGTATATTTATTTATGATTTTAACATGAATTCAAACTTTTCACCATTAACGTTAAAATGTTACAATAATATCTAGAAAAAATAGGAATGATAGAATTTTCAAATAAAATTAAATGACTATGTTCAAATATAAATTCAAATTATTTCTAATTTGTATATTCCTATATAAATTGAGATAAAATTATATCATTGCACAAGTTTATATGCTAAAATATTCTTAGGAACCAATGAAATCGTTTAAGAGTGTCTTAATGTTTTCAAATTTTAAGCCGAGAAATGTGTTTATATGGTAGATATATATGTTTTCGGTGAATAGGAAATATGAAACAATTACAATACACACATATTGATAAATAAGAAACCTAGATTTCATTATCAAAATGTGTTTGCTTAAGATTAAGTTAAGTTACAATAACAATTACGATATGTGTATAGATTGTTTGTGTATCTATTTTTCAACGGAACAGATTTACAAGAGAGATTTGAAATATTTATTGCAATATTTATTAATATGAATCTATTTAATTAACTTTCAGGGGATGGGCATAATTATTAATGCAGAGAAAAATGGCAATAGTGTTTTTAAGGTGATAAAACATAATATCTTATTGATGAATTAAAAAAGAATAATCCAAAATAATTATACACACACACATTATATATATATATACACACACACACACACTATATATATACACGTACACACACTATATATATATACACGTACACACACATATATATATATACACGTACACACACACATATATATATACACGTACACACACACATATATATATATATAATGTGTGTGTGTTTGTGTGTGTATATATCAATGATGTTAAATATAAAAATCATCAAAAGATCTTGCTTGTAGCTTAAGTTTTTCCAGTTTTTTCTCTCTCTCATTTCGGCTTCTGGATTTATATCCCAGCGAAAGATTAAAAGTCCCTCGTAAATATTCTTCCATACATATTTGAATGTGACAACTTCACGTTTGGGTGTGAAAACATATTTGTACACAATTGTATGATGGCCGTGCACCTTGATCGTAAAATATCTATTTAGCAACAATGCTTGTGAATACTTACACGATTCACTATTATTGTTAAATCTTATTTTTGAAAGTACGAGGTTAATGTTGAAAGGCTCTCGACCTGACGAAGAAAGGATTCCAAAGTAAATTCTGGTGATTGGTCAAGAAATTGGATCGGGTTGAAATCTTTTATTTCCAGCCTTGAGATAGATAGATAGGGATAGATAGATAGATAGGGATAGATAGATAGATAGATAGGGATAGATAGATAGATAGGGATAGATAGATAGATAGGGATAGATAGATAGATAGGGATAGATAGATAGAGATAGATAGATAGATAGATAGATAGATAGAGATAGATAGATAGATATAGATAGATAGAGATAGATAGATATAGATAGATGATATAGATAGATAGATAGATATAGATAGATAGATAGATATAGATAGATAGATAGATATAGATAGATAGATAGATATAGATAGATAGATAGATATAGATAGATAGATAGATATAGATAGATAGATAGATATAGATAGATAGATAGATAGATATAGATAGATAGATAGATAGAGATAGATAGATAGATATAGATAGATAGATAGATGAATGAATAGATATAGATAGATGAATGAATAGATATAGATAGATGAATGAATAGATATAGATAGATGAATGAATAGATATTTTCCGAGTAACAGAAAAAAAATGTTGATATCTTTGTCTTATCTATCTATGTGATGTATAAACAAAAAATATACTTAAATATTCTGCTGAGCAACTAGTCCGACCCCCTAGAGACCTATTCACTGGTTTTATTGTTATATTCTCTTTAATTTTCTTCTCCAAGATAAATCCATAGAGCCGGGGTTAGAGAGAGACAGACTAAATATCACTCAGTGTTGAGTGCGGCGTCGTTGGTTTGGAGGGGTCGGCGGACAAAGAACTCCGGTGGGGCGGGGAACAGACACATTATGGACAAAAAATAAATAAATAAATAAATAAATGAAATAAAAGAAAAATAATGTACCAGTAAGCATTCAACATATATATATATATATATATATATATATATATATATCTGTATCTATGAGTTCAAGTACATTGGATATATCCCTGTCCCCCACCAAACCCTGATCCTGCTATACAATACACCAAACAATACAAAACATACACACACACGCAAAACATACACATGTATGCATACGCACATACACGAAGGTGGATTTTTTTTTCTATACCTACACGACCTTTCAATTACCCACACGTTTTACTCGGAATTTTTTTTCTAGTATGGGAAAACACGATTGTTTATTCCCAGGATAGAAATATTCGCATAAATTACTGACTAAATACTGTTAAAAAAATAATTTAAAAAAATATTTCATGATTTATCTAATTAGCTTTTTTTTTTTTGTTTTTTTAATCCGACTTTTATTCACGTTGTAAATATGCTTTTTATTATTATTCCCTACCTTAATATTCGAGAGAAATCTATGTGAATCTACTCCACTATCTTTCCCAAGAAATCATGGCAATTCACAAATAAAGGAAAAGGATCTGTGGAGAGCCATGATCGCCTACGTCCTGAAGTGATATGGCATTAAGCATATTTCAGAGATGTTTTTTAATTAACTGCAAGGTAAATTTATCTTAAATATTTATATAATAAAAATATATATTGAAAAAATTAGAACGGCCAATGTTTATTTTATTTTTTTTTTAGACTGAAAACGCAAAAACAGTGAAACAGACGCTATAATCGAGTGTAAAAATGGCGACTCAGGAATTTTATAGACTTTTTTCCTAATATTCCACGAGTGTCAAAGTGTTATTTTCATAAAATTACCGCAAATGAAAAAGAGACCTGGGTCCTTGTACAACAATTAGGAAATTTTAATGAGGTTATTTTCTGTCTGGGTAATTTAGAACTTAACCTTTTTCTCTTTTTCTTTTTTTTAATTACTTATGCTTTAACTTTGTCTTAAAATTTTGTTGTATTTATTTTAATAAAAATTACGTACGAAACTTAAAAATACTCCAAAAAATTTCACCTAAAGATTGTTTTAATAGCAAATCTGAATAATAAATTTTAATTAAATTTGAAATTCCATTTCACTTGACTAACCTATCAGGTAACTTTTATATTAATTGACAAGTTTAACGATTTCAAAACAGATGACAGGAAGAATTTAGAATTACGAATTGCAGTTGTTTTTTTATTGCATTTTTGTTCTATATTACCGCGCAAGAAATTGAATAAGAGAAAAATGGTTCATATTTGGTGTATATTTATTTTTAAAAAGTGCGACTTTTTTCAACTGATTATCATATTAGCTCTAGTGTATGTTTATCTTTTAAAAATATACAATATCTATACTTGTTGGCTAAATTTACCTCCGCCAACAAGAGAGATAAGCTCGAAAAAAAAAAAAAAAATGATGGAAGGCAGTTCTGCTTGAATTTTATATAAACGTTCAAAAGAATATATGTGGGTGTAACAAGATATGTTTTCGTAGCAAGCGGTTGTTAATTGGCGTCCCATAATTGTTGCTTCGACACTTATGTATAAAATGCAGAGTTGGAGAACATTGATGTGTGTGTGTGTACGTAATAATAATAATAATGATAATATGCAAACTAAAATATGGCCGAGAGCGACACTTATTTTAGCAAACAAATCTAAATAACAACCTTGTTTCGATATTAATTTACATACACTCTAAGCTATATCTTCCTTTTTAGAGTTTTTCCTCCCTCCCTACACTAATAAAAGTAGACCAAAATGTTGTCTTCGTATTTTTAGATAAAAAGAAACTGATTATAATTAATAGAAAACAAGTAACTATTGATAACAAAAAAAAACAAAAAACAAAACAGAAAAATGGTAAGACATGGTGGGCCTTCTTTCTTTTTCGAAACTTACACAACGTGTTCGATCCTTACTAAAAGAAACCACGTAAAAATACGACGAATATAGATAATTGGGTGGGACTGTTTTATATTAGAAAAAAAAGGGGGGATGACGACGAAAAAGTAATTCCAGTATTGATATATCTTTAATTATTATTAATGACCGGTAGAAAAACAAAACAAAAAAAAAATTGAAAATTACGTCAAGATGGCTTACAGATAAAAAAAAAAAAAAGACTAGAGATTGTTAATAATTATAATAAAAAAAAATCATCTGATTATGAATAATAGATTAAAAAAAACGTAGATACTCTCAGATATGGGCAGACGACAAGACATTTTCTCTTACATCTCTTATACACAAACGTGTGCATATTTGAATGCGGATTGGTGACAAAATATACAACTATGTTAAACTTAACGTTCACTGATTCCGAAGCGTAAAGACATCTGTGAGAAAAATATGTTGACTTGTAAAATCTTGTTTGTTTGCGTGTGTATGGATGCGATATATATTTTTTTTCCTTTTCTTTTTATTTATAATATATCTAAGTAAAATAACAAATGGTTGATTTGAGTGTGAGTTCAGAGTCAACAGGCAGAGAAACGAATAAGGTTGGTAGTGTTGAAAAGTATATAGTGGAGTACTTACTTTTACAAGAGTGATAGAAGTCCATCATATTTAGATTAGTGTTGTGGTAACGGTACGCTGTGGTTAGGTCCATCTTTTCCGAGCCGCCTGTGGTTCCGTAAGACAACCCGTTGTAAATCGTTTGATTCCTCAGCGCCCGATGTAAGGGAATCGCTGGAGTTGTGGCCAGGGTCGCCACGGTCGCCGTTGTAACTTCAACGCTCAAACCTTCTCCTTTTCCCCCCTCTAGTCACACTTCTACCCGCACGCTCACCCCCTCTATCTATCTATCTGTCTATCTTTTCGTGTTTTTTTTTTGTTTTTTTTTTTTTCTTCTTTGATTTCTTTTTGTTTAGTTTCAGACAGATCTATCTATTAAAAATAAAAATTCCTTTTTTTCCCCCTTTACTTGCTGGAATTGTCTCTCTCTCTCTCTATAT